AAATCGTCAGAAATAGTTAGGACAATACCGAGGCTGACCACGAATCACGTACCATACTCGACGTAGAGATTGATATAAATCTGCTGTAAAGCAACTCGCATGCTCGGGCTCTTGACATCCGTGAGCATGACAAACTTGATATTCGTGGGAGTTTCGTAGTAGTGAAGCTTGTATTGGCTGGTGCGATAAGTGACGAAGCTAGGTGTACAAGTAATCGTCAATTACGAATTCAGATTTCGATAGAAGCAGCTCAATGGCTTCTTCTCACCTGTCATCCTCGCCTCCCAACTTGCGCACCATGTTTCGAAGGGAAAAAACAGTACCGAAAATCAGCTTCGCATCGTCGTCGGTCGTCCGCGCAGATTGGCCAAAAACAGAGGGGACACCATTCTGAGTAGCGACTTCAGAAGTCGGTCGCGAAGATTTACCGACTATCGAGGCCGGACGGGGAAGCCATCGCCTCTTATAGATGCACTCGGCTAGAAGCGCGCAAAGGGGCAGATCAGCTATTGTTTTTGTTTACAATAGGAAAGGGAGATTATTACCGTGGCGGTCGAAGATATAGAACGAATAGACGACCATTTCACCGGATGAATATCGACAACGACGAACAGAATACCGAGAGAGCAAAAGAATGCCAGATATCAAGCCGTTGGAATTAACTCAACAACGACGGTGTTGAGTAACAATAAGAGCGGTTCAATTAGGCTCGTCGAGGCAAGAATGCTCGTGGGCGGTGAGAAACCACTTCCCCTCTCTCTCGAGGTAGTGTCAACTAACCCTTTCGCTCCCTCATCCCACTCAAATAATATCATCACATTTACTCCGTAATGTGGAAAGAAGATAGCCTGATGGGTGATATTTAGCAATTTGGCCACATTTCTTCTTTTCGCGTGGGCCTTTAGTTACTCTCGTTTCAGTCCCTTTTTGACCTGTCATCGGAACTTCGACTCTTCCCCGATATTCCCCACATTCGGCTTAGGCATCCAGGTTTATTATCAGTGCAATAATACTCAGCATTTCACACTTGGAAGGAATACAATTCCGCTAGACATAATTCATTCCCACTCCATTGGCTTTTGAACACTTTTGAGGTTCATTCGATGGCCGACGAAATTGCTGCACCCAAACACGATGATATCCTCAACGCCATGAATGAACGTCCCAAACCCAAGCCTAGCCGTTACGCGTGAGTCGAACTATATACTCCCGGCTTCGTCATTCATTCTTAGATGCCACTGCGCTCGATTATCCTGCATATCTTCTCATTCAATTTGCAAGTGTTCATTGCTGAATAGATCCCGGCATTAGTTCCACGCCTTCCTCTGAAAGCCCGCAGAGGCACTATCACCGAAATCCGAAAGTCCGACGTCCAGTGAAGGTTATTATCACTCGATCACTTTTGGCTGCGTCCGATTGACTAATTCATTGGAGGCAGGAAACCCTGAATGCTCGCTCCGAGTATACGACGAGCCAAGATGATGGGACTGCCGAACACAGGATCAATCAATATGTCATAAAGCAGGAGATTGGCAGAGGATCCTTCGGTGCAGTTCACCTCGCAGTAGATCAATATGGGAATGAATTTGTAAGGCGACTGTCCTTCTGATGCGTAAGCCTGTTTGCTGTATGCGAGATGAATGCTATGCTAACAAAATGTGTGTTTCCACAGGCAGTCAAGGAGTTCTCTAAATCACGACTAAGGAAACGCGCCCAATCACATCTTCTCCGCAGACCTCGAGGCCCTAAACGACCATCAGATGGCTTCAACTCTCCTCTACATCGTCATCCGTCGGGGAATGAGGACGAGCACGGCAAGAACCCACTTTATCTCATCAAGGAAGAGATCGCCATCATGAAGAAGCTGAACCACAACAACCTGGTGTCTTTGATTGAAGTTTTAGATGACCCCACAGAGGACTCCCTATATATGGTGATGGAAATGTGTAAAAAAGGCGTGATCATGAAGGTTGGACTGGAAGAAAGGGCCGACCCTTACAGTGATGAACAATGTCGCTGCTGGTTCCGCGACTTGATTTTGGGAATTGAATATTTACATGGCCAGGGTATCGTGCATCGAGATATCAAACCAGACAACTGTTTATTGACGAGTGATGACGTTCTCAAGATCGTTGATTTTGGAGTATCCGAGATGTTTGAGAAGGATTCGGATATGTTCACAGCCAAATCGGCTGGCTCGCCTGCCTTTCTTCCGCCGGAGCTGTGTGTGGTAAAGCACGGAGATGTCTCGGGAAGAGCAGCAGATATCTGGTCTATGGGTGTTACTCTCTACTGTCTCCGCTATGGGAGGCTGCCATTTGAGAAGCAAAGCATCTTTGAACTCTATGAAGCCATCAAAAACGACCCCGTTGTATGCGAAGAGGAAACGGATGATAACTTCAAAGACTTGATATTGCGGATACTGGAGAAGGATCCAAGCAAAAGGATCACAATGAGAGAGTTGCGAGTGAGTTGTTTCCTGCTGTATATCAATAGCAACACGTGTCTCATGGAATAGTCCAGGCGCATCCCTGGGTGACAAGAAACGGTTCCGACCTTCTCTTGCCTGAGGAGGAGAATATTGCGGAGATAATGGAGCCCCCAACTGAGGAGGAAATGAATACCGCTATAACAAAGAATGTGGGCCACATAATGGCTGTGGTATGTCTTTGTGCCCTGACGCTACTCTGTCTTCCCACGGAATCAGCTGACATAAACGCTGCAGATGAAAGCTGCGAAACGTTTCAAACGGCTTCTAGGGCCAGCTAAAGCCGAGCCGGTGATGCAAAGTATACTTGGCCGGGAGTATGAGAGTCATTTCGTGGAGCCGCCGCTCGAAATGGACCCGGAAGAGAGCGTCTCAGCCAGCGATATTCTCATGGGTAACAAAAGCCAGAGTGTAACTTCATACAATAGAAAGCCCTGGGAACGTGAGAACGTTCTCAAAGGCTATCATCAGAAGCGCGAAAAATCACCCGAAATTAGTGATTCAGCCGGCAAGTATACTACCCAACAAGACCCTGTGCTAGGCAGCTCAACCGAACATTCTGTGGGCATTACACCGGAGAGACAAGATTCAGCCTCTATCTCCAGCTACAAGCCTCGCACCAACTCGGCCGACGATCTACAGGCGACTTTCTCTCGTCAGTCCCCTTCCCCCCTGAAAACGCTGTCGCGGGCCAGTTCGGCTACAACAAAGCGCAGCGTCGAGGGTACCAGGGGCCACGCACGGGATCCTTTAGAAGAGGCATTCCCATACCTCTTTATTGGTCCATCCACCTACACGGGGTCAGATCTGGAAGGAGGACATGATACCGATATGGAGCGCAACGCCGACCAATCGGAAACTCTACTGTCAGGCGAGCCCCTAGAGACGAGTCTAGCAGGGAATGAGGCTATCCCTATAGTGAGCGAGTCACCAGGTGCTGCTGAATTCGACATTTATGAAACAGCGTATCGACAGGAGATCGCTCGAATCCGTAAACTCACTCTGGCTCGTGAAGGTACTCTACCCAAAGTGTACTTAACTCGGCGCGTTGAAGACAAAGACGAGGTCTTAAGGCTTGTCGAGGACGGGTCTCTTGGGACGAACCACGAAACTGCTGCTTGCAAAGCAGATACAGTTATTGGTGAGAAGATCACGGCGCCGTCCAGCCCGCGCTCTGGAGTGAGCATGATAAAAACTCAGCTGGATGACCAGCTCAAGTTAGAAGCAAATGGAGCCCATGCTCAAGAACAGCTGTCTGCACCTGGCACCACGGCAGATCACGAGCCTGACGCTGCCACTAAATCGACGGCTACGGGAGGCTCGTTGACGTCGTCGCCGGAAAACGCGAAAACCAAGTTGAGGAGCCTCTTAGACCGTGTCAGGGGCAATCACAGTCCTTGAGATATCGAAGATTGAGTTGTTGAAGCCGACTGCAATCGGCGCCGTCGGAAGATTGTCCTTCGATGTGGTGCTCCACTAGGCATATTTTCTACGCCACTATTTGTGTTGATATGAATGATCTATTGCCGGACATATGACCTGTAGCTATCAACCACTTTGGTATGCATAGAACCTTCACATAAGTAGTTTTACCAGCTTAGTCTCTAGAAAATATAGCAAACTCTCAAAAGGACATGGTTCGACATTAGTTATTATACATACAAGGGCATCAGACCCATCCGGGCGAGTACATAAGACCTCTCACGAAAAAAAGTAAGGGGAAAGAAAAGAATAAATAACGCAAAAAGGAGGACGAGCAAAAGGAGGAACGACGATGAAAGGCAATGAAGAACATGAGAGATGGTGGCAATATGCAGCCGTGGTCGTAAAATGATTGGTCGTACATGTCGATCTTTGAATGGAAAGACATGGGAGTCGCTATAGAGAGAAACGAGATATGCAATAATGATCGCAGGTGAGGAAAGGAACATCGTTGTCATAGGAACTTGGCGCGTTCAACATGGCCGCATACAATAGGACTGATTTCGAATGAAACAAAGTATGTTCAAGGCGGAGGCGGAGGCTTGACCTATCTTGCTTCTGCTGCGTGAGGCAATGAGTATCGTGGTGCGCATATGCATTCGTCGGAGTTAGATAAGTCAGAGAACATCTGTCAAAGACAGTGATGGGACCTGTGTGCTTCGGCTGCTCAAGGCGCGAACGTATCAACTTATTGATTTGAGGGCCATTGCCAATCGTGAGCAATCAGAATTCGTCGAAAAAGAAAAAAACACAGGGGTTGGGTAAAGAAAGAAGCAAAGATTGCATCGAATATGCCGTTAGTCGTAGCACTCTTCGCAAGTCGTCTTCTCAACTGGTTCGTGATGAGTGAGAACCAATGCTATCTATCGCTCAAAACTGAAGCGTTCATATCGTTCATCGTGAGCAACCATGGCTTTTGAAGGAAAGAGGGAACATAAATGGTTACAACAAAAAAGAGAGAAAGGGACAGAAAGAGAGAGAGAGAGAGAGAGACAAGACCGTCCTGCACTTCTTCTTTAGCCAGATGATGTCACTCGGGTCTTCTTTCGGCTGAAGTGGCAGCAGGTACTTCGGGAGTAGACAATGCGGGCGCTTCTGGCCGTCTGCTTGCAGGATCGGTCAGGATACGTCGACTGCTGTCTCCAAAGGAGAACCTTTCTGAGGGACGAGGCTCAAATGGTCGCTCCCCAGGATCCATTCGCGCCACCGGCTCTGCGTGGCTCATTTGTAACGCTTGGGGTGAAGGTAGAGACTGCCGTGGGTCGGTCGGTCTTGGAAGCTCTCTTAGTATCGGTCCGGGGTCACGCGTCGGTACCCCTCTTGCTCGTCCATCGTCGATGGGTGCCATGAGCGTAACTGGCCTCCCAGGCGGCGGTGCATAGCGCAGCTCCGGATTCTGGACTTCCACGGGCCGGAGACCCGGCTGAGGTGTAAAAGAAGTGCTTGAAGACATAACTCCTGGCGGGCTGGCTGGTGTTGAAGGAGCTTTCAGCCTATGAGACCCCGACCTTCGGGGAGGAGGGTATGCTTCGCCTCGAGCCTCGGCAGCCGCCTTGCGTCGCTCCGCTTCGGCTTTGCTTGGCCGGCCTCGTTTCCGGGGCGGCTCGCCTTTGGTCGTAATACTTTCCAAACTCGGAGAGAGGAGCGCAGAAGCGCTGCTCTCGCTGCTGTAAGAGGCCGTGCTGGCAGCTGGCCGAGGCTGGATAGCGCGGGGGCAAGAGGTGGTTTGTCCAAGAGGAAAAGCGGCCGCTTTCGCATGTGACTGCCCTCGGGTTGAACTGCTGGTGGTGCAGATAACTCATGACGGGGCGGTGGAAACGGCACCAGGCCCTGATTGACAGGGACAGACATCTGTGGCTGTTGTTGCTGTCGTTGCTGTTGCTGTCGTTGCTGTTGCTGTCGTTGCTGTTGCTGTTGCTGTTGTTGTTGTTGTTGTTGTTGCTGCTGCTGTTGATGCTGTTGCTGCTGCTGCTGCTGCTCTTGGCACATATTGTGAAAAGCGAATTGACAGGAATTCAGGGAACGGCCTGGACCAGAGTAGATTAGCAGAAGCCAGGCTGAACTATCCACTCTGACCTTGACGAAAACCTCGACACAGTGCAAATACGACATGAGACGTACGCACCCAAAAGACGAAAACGGCAGGAGACAAGCAGAGGGCCGGCATATCTGTACCTGTTGGAAGAGGAATATCCGTCCAGCTTGGGATAATATGGAAATCTTTTATCATTTGGACCAGGCGGCTGGAAGGGACTCCTGCCTTCTTGAGAATCTCAGTAAGTAGAGCGTACTGGAGACATAGTCAGTATGACAGGACTTGTGAACATTGGAAACCGCATGGAGCGTCTTGATGAATGCTTGACGATAGAAGGAGTCTGGTCTTACCCTCTCCTCTTCGGTCCATGGCCTTTCTGATATATTCGACATATCCCGTTGATCATGGAAGCGACTTTAGCTGGCTTCCTTTCCCTCCCAATCCGTCAACAAACGAAGCCAGGATAGCGTTCGCTTCAGTGCAAGTGGAGCCCAACCTAGAAAATGGCGACGCGCGACTACGGGTTCAACGGTCTGGAGAAAAACAGCAAACCAAACACGAAGAAACAAAAAAAAAGAAAAGAAAAGAAAAATTTAAGAGAGATATACCAACGGGAAACCAATCTAGAAGATGACAGAAGTGAAACAACCACAAAGCCTCCCAAGCGGAACAATGCGTTTACAGGGGCGTAAGTACGAACAAGCACGTGGATTTTCCAGAACCAAATCAGGAACTAGGCTAAGAGGGCAGCAAATACCGACAAAGGAAACTGCTGAAGGCGATGAAGATCAAAAACAGCGGAGGATGGACACAGGCCGGTACTTCGAATAGAAGGCATGAAGTTCAGACTCGCGTCCGCTAATAGACTGGACAGATCTCGATATATGAGGCGACGGCTGAATGACGCAAGGAGCAAAGGATATATCGAGGGATCCTCGAGACAAAGGCAGATTGGCAACTCGGGATGCTAGATATATCGCCAGTCACAGCGAGAATGGTCCAATTCGCTGGAGTTGGAGAAGAGACTATCGAAAACGAACGTCAAGAATTGAAAGAAAGAAGATCGATAACGACAGCAACGACCGCGACAGCGACAACAAAACAATGGGGTTGAACCGTGCTGTGGCCACCGGATAGGAGATGTCAAGAGGACCTATCGTCGTCGACGATCGACTGGATATCTGGAACAAAACAGTCTCAATGATGCATGTCGTACCAAGGACGAGTAGTTTCAATCAGAGAATCACGAAATATGACAGGGAGAGTAAAAGAATGGGAAAAAAAGGGGAAATGGGACGAAAGAAAGTCAATCAGACAGCAGGAAGCAGACAAAAATAAATCAGTCTGATTTATTTCTGCCCCGGGAATATTTTCTGACCAAACGGACTTTTCATTTCGGGACAGCGCAGAAGACAGTGCAGATGCACCAGCATGCGGCCGGTTAGCAGTAAGGAAGGCTGCAGGGACTCTTTTCTCTCTTAGTTTTCCTGCGCTTGTCCTCTGAAAAGCGGCGAGATGGAGCCACAGTAGGTAGATAGTGACCAAGAGAACTTCCCGGACCAGCGAAATTAAAGCATATCTAATGTTTGCGGGACCAGCCAGCCGGGGGTGGATAGAATTGAACCATACCCTACCTAGAAGAGCATAGTGTTTCAGAAACGATTGTTTCAGATGATTCCAAGCGTCTAAACTGTCGCAAGAGCGGAAAGGACGACGCCATGGGATACATGAATGTGCAGCGCACCAGACGTGGCCCCTCTGCTTCCTGCTCCGAATGAGACTAGGATTATCACGGGAAAAGAGACGTATAAAGTCATCCACTCTTTGGACGCACAGTGATCAAAGGGCGACAAGAACCTGGACGGTTTAGGAAAAGAGCAGGGGTAGAAACGGCCAGCCAGACCCGCATTGAAGGCGCGATGCAACAGCAGCCTCAGCCTACTGCTGTACTCCCGCAACACGGAGGCGGCAAAGTCAAAAGGAAAAGAACAAAACACAAAAGGCTGTCGAATGAAAACAAAAGCAATACAATTTGACCATGATAAAGAAGAAGAACTGGTATGAGAAAAGGAATCATGTCAAATAGAAAGGAAACTGGAGGGAAACCTCAACCCTCCCACACTAGACAGGTGCCATGACTTGGAGCAAAGGATTCTAGTAAGAGAGCAGTGCGTTCCAGCCATGAGTATCATGGATGCTAGACAATGATTGATAGGCGGACATTGCGCCCCAAGATATTGGGTCAACAGACTAGAATCGATAGGTTGTTCAGGACTGGAAGCTTGAGGAGCGAGGTTCGGGGGCTAGCTCCCAGCTGCAGGAAGTAGTGCGGTCGATCCATCCCGAAAGACAGCACCTCATCGCCCAGTAACAATATGTTGTGCTCCGTTGAACGCTCCATGATAATCTAACAGCCGTAACAGGTGCTGACGAAGAAAGCAAACAATGGTGCGCTGTGCATCGATTCAATTAAGGATTGCGGCATCTTCAAGCCATTATGGTATAGTGGAGAAAAACCACGTAGAGGACCAGCATGCCAGACAAAAAACGGAGTGAATGGAGGTTAGGATGGTGAAAACGGCGCTGGAAGAAGTGGGGTAGACTGTTTTGACTGGAGTATTAATTCTGGAGGCTGGGACGGATACGAATGATGGATATTGATGGCATACTGCAAGAATGGACCCGACATTCGAGCACAGCAATCCATCGGAACCTGCGATCAATCAGAAAGAGTGAGACTCATACACTAGCCCACATTGGTTACTATGTCAACAAGCTTAGGAGCATGCATAAAATATAGATTGTGGGATTATCACAAATAGTCATAATAAAATAGCAGAACAAGCGGGCAAATGAGAACGAGAGGAAGAAAACGACCAATAATAAGGTCTGAGATGAGGAAAGGATTCCCCAATAAAGGAACAAGGTCAAGGAGATACAATGGCTCAGGCCTTGGTCGAACGCTGTCATAGCGAGTGGAATTTGACACCACTGCATTCCCTTCATTGATCACCGTACATTGTAAGTGTGCCGCATCGTTGTCCTAAGAGACTCTGTAGCATGATCAACCCAGCCAATGTCGGCTCGGATTCTTGTTTAGTGAAATTCTAACTACTCCGTAAGAGATTGAAGCACGGAGTAAGTATGCATCGTGTTTGTTCTTGGACACGACGAAATTCGAGTGGTCAAATCAGAAAGGACGTACCCGTATTACTTGCATCTTAGCAAGCATGGGATTCATCGCATTGGATCGATAACAGGATAGTTTATGCACGAGAATCAGCGGCGCGCAGGAGAGGCAACGCCCCGCCGGTTTGAATCAACCGGCAGAAGTGTAGTTCAGCATGGCAATTTCGGGCGTTCTGCATAGACCACTTGCCAATGACCTACCTCCTTTTTCCGATTCGCCATTGATTGTGGAAGCATAACCTTCATGAAAGCTGTTTCTTCGATGATCTGTGTGACTTGGCATAGTCAGTCCTTAACACAAACAGTAGGAGTACTTTGAGATTAAACTGAGAGAGTATTAAAGGGAGGTGGTCAAGTTTCAGTGGCGCAGCCATGAGATCCTAGGTACGGGTAGTACTAGGTAGGCAGGTTGAACGTACCTCGTAAGAAACAGGTAAAATATGATAGATTAGTCTGTGCCTAGGTAAGGTAATACTGATAAAGTAGTGGACGAAGAAGTCACTCCATTAGGTCCAGGTTCCTAGGACTACCTGTACGGATTGGGTAGTATGCAACCTCAAGAAGAGGTCAAATAATACCTATGCTCTTTCTAGGTACGTATCTACATCAGGTATCTACCTTCGGCGCTTGGCTAAGGTATGACAGAAGGTAGGTTGGGTAACGCAATTTCCTTACCTACCTTACCTGCAGGTACGCCCTTCCTCACGGTATCTAAGGTAGCTATTCCATACAAGTACCACTAGGTACCAAAGCATCTACCCTGATGCATTGAAGATCTTCCAGGCTCTCACTATTGATAGTTGACATTGCCACTCTACTACGTTAGATTAGCCTACGTATTCATCTCATGACCCCACAACCCAGAATGGTGCCGTCTATGGCTCGTTTCTTCCCCAAAATAGGTACGTAGTTTGCAATTCATGTCGACAACTAAGGTACCTAGGTAGGTATAGAACTGTACTGCCGGGCGGGGTGTTCGACAGGCAGTGGGCTCTCTTTCCTTGGTAAACGTGTAATATTCATTACCCAAGTAACATTACCTGATTACCTTACAGCTCGCTGACGGATGGAGGCCAGGTATTCTTTCTTGCGAAACCTCCAGTATCTAACTAGTGCCAGGTAGTAGTAACTCCGTAGTACCTAGTGACCGTTATTTCTCCTCTTCTACCACAAATCACTACATTCACCATTCCCTCTTTTCCCTCGTCCATCTAGAATTCGACCACTCTCTCGTCCATTTTGTTATCGGGGAGCTTCTAACGCTCTATAGATAAGAATTTAAAATCAGGATCTGAAGTCAGAAAATGACTGGCTCTTAAACGCCGAAAGCTCTCATGTCCAACTGGCATGTTTCGAGACGACCCCAGCTCATATGCAGCCACACACACCAGCTTCTTTTGTATCCAACTGAAACATCATGCTCTCCTCGCTCATGCATAACTCATGAGTTTTTTTTTTATTTTTATTTTTGGCCACATATTTTATGGCTGAATCGCTCGTCTGGTTTAAAATGGAGTACTACTTCAGCCAGCTCTATGACGGTTTGAGCTCCGCTGCCAGTGTTCGTTCCCACTTAGTCCGCTCCAAATACTCATGCATAATTGAAAGTGCAACACAGTGTCCAATCACTACCCGCCTCAAATCGCACCACTTTGAATGAATCGCTTAAGAAGACAGAAACAATTCAGGAACACGGGTCACGACTATCTTGTCAGAGTTCCTTGAATTTTTCATGCGCATAATTTGCTCGTTTCCCATCGTACTTGATACTAACCCGGCCGAGCAAGGTCTGCAGAAGCCGAGGGGACCAAAGATGGGAGGGGATTTTCGGTTGAGGGACCAGGATGTACAATCCCCACTATGAGCATCCAGCAGTGTTGCTCTGCAG